CGGCAATACGATTAACTGTTGTAGGTTCTCACTCGCCGACTTTGTGTGCCTACATTTTTACTCTTTAAAATTAGTAACTCCTTGCTGCCAATGTATAACTAGCTCGAGCATGCCTGTAACCCATGAAGTTTTCTGCTGGAGTCGTGCACTCCCTGACATTGTATACTGGTATCTATGTTTTCTTACTTTGAAAATGTGTAACTCTTTATTGCCAATTACCAGCCCTAACATGGAGCTGTGTACTCCCTGTCTTTTTATACCTATCTGGAATGAATTAAAAAATAAAAAATTAAAAACCAACTGTTGTAGGGCCCACTGACGCCCGGGTACGACACCAGCCGCATCTGACAGTAGAGCGATACACGTCTCTGTATGATTGCTGTAATTCCAAAAATCAGCAATAGTGATTTGGACCCTTTCTGTTTGTACAGCAGGAGTAGAGAGGCTGTTCGAACTTGCTGTAGTGGGAATGGTGTCGGTCATCGCTGGTTGTTGGTTATCATGGCGACCGTTTCATTCTCTCTCCTTATCGCGAACACCTGGTGTCACCACTGATTTCAGTGATCCGTTCTCATAACGTTCACAGCCATTGTACGTTTACCCAAGTGGAATCTCTTTCTGAGAATAGTCAAGATTGGGTATTCTTTTCACAGTACATTTACTGCAACTGGATTTATGTTTCTGCTGGTGAACTGAAGTCCCAGAGATTCATCATAAGCTCTGTAGCATATTGAAATATGCAAAGGAAATGTTTGATCTGAAACATTAAAACTGACCGCTGATATGTTAGAAAGCAAATCGACCCGTGAAAATCCTGGTTACAATTGATCTTCAGTAACCCATGCTTGTGGTAAGAGCCGACTAACGGGATCGGGTGGTCAGGCTCGCTGACTTGGTTGACACATGTCATCGCATCCTAACTGCGTAGATCGATGTTCATGATGTTGATCACTGGATTGTCTGGTCCAGACTCGATTATTTACAGACCGCCGTCATATAGCTGGAATATTGCTGATTGTGGCGTAAAACTAAACGTACTCACTCACTCATTATAAAGCAAATCTGTTTCCCAAACGGTTTTCTTAACGTGTAAGCATCGGAATCTCTGCAATTCCTAACAGAAGACGTAATTCAAAGATATCAAACTGGATGTTCCAGTAAATTGATCACCTCATTGTCTGGTTTGTTTGTAGACCGCCGTCGCATGGCTGGACGTCTTATGCAGGGGTCAGGCAATGTATACTTGTGAATGGCAGGTGCTATCGTTAGTGCAGGACATGCTTACCTTTCACGCGCACACCTGGCGTCATCACTGATTTTCAGTGATCCGTTCATATAATTTTAACTATTATTTTCCCCTTTCCAACAAACGGAGATTCTTTCTGAGTATGGCCAAATATTCTTTTGCAATTCTATATATCGCATGCCAGTTTGCTGACATATTGGTACATAATCAAAATGTTAAGTGACTCGTATATGATTCAGACGCTTTATTACATATTCATCCGTAGCCTTCACATCGGATATCTGCAGTGTAAATAATATACATCTGAACAATGAAATGTCCAACCCGACCAAGTCATATGTTCGACAAACCCGTTTCAGCGATCATTTCCAATCCAAATATGCCTTCGTGTGTACTTCAGTTTTGAATAATTCATGTAAGACAATCGATCAAGTGTATAAATATCAACGACAAAGAATACATGCATACTTTGAAATGCAAGCAATACATAAACTCACATAAATGAAGACACATGGCATGTTCGTGTCAGGAATATAGACGCATTCATGTTCAACACCCACGTAGACATTCCACAAGAACTTGTAAAACTAAAATGTAACCTTGTGGAAACATTCCTTATGCAAATACAAAAGAAAGCAAGACGTCCACATATCAAGATAATCTAAATACATAAGTCTATGGATTGCAATACGCTGAATGCATAAATGTTCGTAAATGCATAATCCTGTATTGACAATCGTAATAAATCAACGATGTTGTTCTTCATAAGCTTCCAAACATCGCTGCATGCTTAATGCATAAACGTCCATGTATTTTTTGGTTTTCATAATTTCTTTATTTTTGTTGTATTTGTACATAGTTGCACATGTAAATAAATTGTCTAGATAAACAAAAGGTGACAAGATGACCAGAATTTAGTTAATTGGTTTAGATGTCCATACATTTTTGCTGTGTATTTCGTGAAGTAATAAAAGCATGTGAGTTCTTCCTGAATCATTTAATAATTTATTGTTATTTTATATGTTCTATTTATAAAAATAAATTGTTTGCATACAATTATTAAGAGATTTATTGGTCCAAAAATTAGTAACAGAGTGCCAAGAAGTATATCTTTCTTGTTAAGTTTGATGAATAATTCGGCTTTCTGGTTGACCCATTTTTCAAATTGTGTCCAGACGGAACTCACATGGTTGCAATACCAAAACAGATGATCAGCTGTTTCACGTTGATTATTACAATAACCACATAAATTGCTGTCTGCGTATCCCATTTTAAAAGTAAGGAATTTGTTGGTAAGATATTGTGAAGAATTTGATATTGAAACTATTGCTGTTTAGAAATTTGCAGGCATTTAGTTGGAATCATAATATAATTTTGTCTAATAGGTTCCAGTACTGTTTCTCCATGTATTCATGTTTGATTGATGAACAAACGTCCATATATCAAGACCTGCTGAATGCATAAATGTCTATGCATCAAGATTTGATAAATACATAAACGTCCACCATCAAGATCGGTTGAATGTATAAGCGTGCATGCAATGGAGATATGCTGAATTCATAAACGTCTATCTGTCGAGTTATGTTTAATGCATAAATGACTTTTTCTGTGAGGATCTGCTAAATACGTTAACGCCCACCTATCAAGATCCGCTGAATGCATAAACGCCCATCCATCAACATCTGAGTTATGTTTAATGCAAAAATGCCCGTGTAGCGATATAATGCACAGACATCCATAATGTTGAAATAAGCTGCATTTCATCTGTAACTGTAATTAAGGCATAATATTCTTAATTCCTATAAAATTTCATATATAATGCTGTTGTCATATTCTACAATGGATACAGCATTCACTCCAACTTTAAGTGGCATCGGCATGATTTCAACCATATACAAGACAAATGTTATGGATAACAACTTCTTGATTTATTTTTCACAACGTTTTTTGGTCTAGTTCTTGCCCCTTCTTCAGGTAAATCATGGTGATAGTGAACAGTACAGTATATATATAGATGTACAGGCAACCAGATATGTAAGTATATACAAGGGAAAAAGGAGGTATAATTAAGTATGTACCCCAGATAGGTTACGTAACTCTATCGCCAGAGGCACTGCAGCGAACCGGAAGTGACGTTATGTGAGGAAGGATTTTCAGTTAGTTGTAAATAACATGTGTAACAAGCTCGTCATTTTGCTGATTTCTCGACGTTTTCATCGAGTTAAAAAATCAAATCTACTTACAAGTTGTAGTAATAATATGTACAGTCCGATTGGCTCAAAGGCGGACCGATGAATTGCAATCTAACTCGAAAACTAATAAACATAAAATACTCAATGAAACGCTGATCATAATAAAAACATCATAACCACTCTGTGAGGTTTTTGCAGAATTTCTGTCCTAAAAATAAGAAAGTTGTTTAACAAACTATCGTTAAAATATTGACACAGTTCACTGTTTGTTACGAGGGAGGAGTGCAGAGAAAGGGACAGCCAGGTGTTCGAGAAGCACGTTCACAGACAAAGTTATCTATTCATTAACCTGTGCTGTGCCGTCTCCATCCGTTCTCGAACACCTGGCTGTCCCTTTCTCTGCACTCCTCCCTCGTAACAAATAGTGAACTGTGTCAATATTTTAATGATAGATTGTTAAACAACTTTTTTATTTTTAGTCAAAAATTCTGCAAAAAAAAAAAGATTGTGGCTGTCTGAATTAATTTACTCCCGGACATGTCAGAGTCTGCTTTGTACCGAAATGCCAACATACTGCATTAACCATATTTAAATCACTTGACATGAATGGTTTAACACCCGAGTAAACTGGGGAACAAAAGCCAGACCTAGCCAACAAGCGATTTGACAGAATCGTCTATGAAAACAAGTTGTAACTCGGAAGCTAGGCAAAGCTAGTGACAAGATTAAATGACAGTAGATTGGGAAAACATAAAGCTTTTATTTTCACAATAGCTGCCACGATTTCAGGTTTAGACAAACAAGTAAACAAGATAATTTACCCCCGGAAATGTATACGAATTCTACAGCGCCCCTCATATGCATACCTCACATTACGTCACGGAGACGCACCCCTCTGATTGGTTGAAATTTCGTTCGCGGGAGAAAATTGTGCACTGTTGCCAAAAATGTCGATTTAAGTAAATTAAATGTCGAAATGAGTAGTTTTAATGACGGGGTTTCATTTATAACGATGAGATGCCAATAACTTATTTATGTATTTGTACCCTCCTAGAGTATATGTGATCTTTAAAAATCGATACAGGAACTGAAGTAATCAGCCACTCAATCCAGGTTCATGCAAATCTTTTAAAAAAACATGTTTCCACGTTGTATCATATGTTTTTTCTTACTCGATAAAGATAGATATAGAATGTTGTTTGTTGACAATTGAATTTTTGATAAATGGTTTCCGATTCATGAAATTGTCACTGGAACATGTGGTGAGTATTTTGCTCGGAAGCCACATAAGATCTTAGTAAGGACATTATTGTTCTCCAAGCATTATGCTATGAAGAGGAAAATGTCCGGTTGTTACATATCATCAGATATACTGACTTGTGTTGGCGTATGGTCAAGTATGTGCAACACTATGGTCACTATGTTCAAAGTCACACGGACAGCAACAGTGGAGTGAGTAAGTTGGATTTTACGCCACTTTTAGCAATATTCCAGTATTTTCTCGGCGGGGGACACCAGAAATGGACTTCACACAATGTACCCATGTGGGGAATCGAACCCGGGTCTTCGGCGTGACGAGCGAACGCTTAAACCACTAGGCCATCCCACCGCCCCGTGTTCAGTGGAAGGTGTTTTCGTTAAATATAATGTTCTGGGCCTTCTTGAAATAAATATTTGTTGTGTGTACGTTTTCAACGTAATGAAAAGATTTGTTACTGAAACCAATCGACAGTTTCAATTTGCACACACTTTTACAATAACATAAAAGACTGCCTGAAACGTCTCAAATAGACTCAAAGAAGATGATTTGGGGACTCGAGGTCAGAGTCTTACATCAGTCATCATCACACTCATCATCATCATCATCACCTCCTCCAGGACAACCAGGCGGTGGTGCTGCTGTTGTAGGCACTGGTGTCGTCGGTGCCGCGGTGGTTGCTGGTAATATCGACGTTGTTGTCTCCTGAGCCGTTGTTGTTGCTGTTGATGTTGACGTTGGTGTCTCCTCGGCCGTAGTTGTTGCTAGTGATGTCGATGTTGTTGTCTCCTGAGCCGTTGTTGTTGATGTTGATGTTGACGTTGGTGTCTCCTCGGCCGTAGTTGTTGCTGGTGATGCCGATGTTGTTGTCTCCTGAGCCGCCGTTGTTATTGTTGGCGATGTCGGCGTTGGTGTCTCTATCGTGGAAACAGGTACCGTTACCTCATCCTCTGTATCACCTGTGTGGAAACCAAGGAAACATTACCTTCCCGAAGTAGCTTTGTTACTTGCAGGTTTATGATCTATCTCGTCCATCGTATGTAAAAATAATCTTTCTACCCACCATTCTGTATTGATCTTCCCCTCAGGTTAACAACTTCCCTGAAACGTATTACTTTTGGAGCGGGACAGTAATCATTGACAGCACACAACAGAAATCACATACGTCCTATAGTTTAGCAGGAAACATGTATAAAGTTTAACCATTGCCACGCACGTTATTTTGGTTATACATTATGACTGTCACATACCAGAAGATGTTATGAATGTAAAAGATCAAACTGATAAACTTGACGTGATGGAATTGCTATAATGATATTATGCCAACTCATATCAAATATATTGCCAAAAGCTGGAATATTGTTAAACAACAAAACATCAAATATTTTGTATAAGATTAAACACAGTTTAGATTTCCCAATGCATGAATCCGCATACAGATTTCAGATTTAAGTGGGGCGGTGGGGTAGCCTAATGGTTAAAGCGTTGGCTCGTTACGCTGAAGGCCCGGGTTCGAATCCCCACATGGGTACAATGTGTGAAGCCCATTTCTGGTGTCCCCCGCCGTGATGTTGCTGGAATATTGCTAAAAGCGGCGTAAAACCAAAACTTAGTCAGTCAGTCAGATTTACGTCTTTCGGGTCCAGGTCCTTTCCCGAGACTTTCCCAACTGTCTTTCATGCAACTCTTTACTGGGTGATGTCTGTGTGTATTGTTCCCACCAAGCCAGGAGCGGTTTCCAAGCCTTGTGGTTAAAACGTTCGCTTCCCCACATGTGTACAATGTGTGAAGATCATTTCTGATGTCCCCTTCCGTGATATTGCTGGGATATTGTTAAAGCGGCGTAAAACTAAATTCACTCACTTCCCCTTCCAAGCCTTCAAATCGAACTTAAAAGTATTTTTAGAAAACTGTGATGCTCATTAAATTGCTGCGTTCAGAGCATCTACCGAGAAGATGATTAAATTCATTGCATCATCTACATTTCATGTTTACATCTTGACGCAGTGATATTGCTCGAATATTGCTAAAAGCGACGTAAAACCACTCACTCACTCACTCACTCTTTTACGGCTACTATATTTCCATAAGCTTATGTCATAGTTGGTTACGAAATCTTCAAAATGTCAGACAGATAAGCACCATGTACGATTAATTTGTCTCTCTCAGAGTGACAGGGTTTTCGCCTGAGGAGTAAGTGAGTATGGTTTTACGCCGCTTTAGCAATGTTCAATCAATAACACGAGGGGAGACACCAGAAATGGGCTTCACACATAGTACCCATGTGGAGAATCGAATCCGGGTCGTGAACGTTACGATGGAACGCTTTAACCACTACGCTACCTCGCCGTCGCGGGAGACAAAATAAGAATAGAAGGACAGGCATAGTGACTTGGTTGATTGTTATTATTAACATGTATTGTGTTTTACAGATTAAGATAAAAAAATGCAGCAGAGAGGGTTCGGGTGATCCTGGCACAGTCAGACTGGTAAGGCTCATCATCAGCTCAGGGCGCTTGTCCCCTCTACATGCAGCCCAGACTGCGAATGGGACATCTCCCAGAGAAAGTGAGTGAGTGAGTTTAGTTTACGCCGCACTCAGCAATATTCCAGCTATATGGTGGCGGTCTGTAAATAAACGAGTTTGGATCAGACAATCCAGTGCATGAGCATCGATCTGCGCAATTTGAACCGATGACATGTGTCAACCAAGTCAGCGAGCCTGACCACCCCGATCTCGTTAGGCGCCTCTTACGACAAGCATAGTCGCCTTTTGTGGCAAGCATAGGTTGCTGAAGACCTATTCTAACCCGATCGTCACGGGTCTCCCAGGAAAAAGCTGCCTAGTCGAACCAACCAAGAACTTCTGGAGAATATGTAGACTCCCCAACACTGCAGCCTTCTGCAATACCCAGAGTGTCAGAAGGGCTGTGCTCCCGGTGGAGAACCCGAGCACCCTCCTGATCTGTGCCAGGAGATCAGGAAGCACCAAACCCAGGACACCGAGAACAATGGGGAGTACTCGGGATGCAAGCGAGACAAAGCAAAGGCGAAGTCCACATATTTAGCATGCTTTTCCTGAATCTGGCCAATCATGTTGCTGTCAAAAGGGACAGAAAATCCAATGATATAATAAATTCATTAGCTTTATCGAAAGGGACACGATGAGGTTTGTTTGCTGGAATTCTTCTGAGGCTGTATATGGGCTTATTCCAAATAAGTTTAAAAGCATCATTTTCCATGACGCCCTGGACATGTTCAGGGTCGTACCATGGATGGACCTCGGAGTCAAAGCCATAGGCATGGTGAAGACGATAGTAGAAGCAGCCAGCCATGCCATCATGTCTTTTAAGATATGATGTTTGTGCCAAGGAAGGGCATCCACTGACATGGTGTTGGACAGTCTCTGTAAATTCATTACACAGTCGGCATTTCATGTTAATATTTTCTTTAAGAATCACAATCGGGCGATTGTGGAAAGTAAATAGTCCTGAGCAGCAAAGAGGAAACCCTCAGTCTCACATTTTAGACCAGCCGACTTCATCCAGTCGACGGAGTCGGCTGGATTGCTATCCTGTTCCACACACTGCATGTACGCACGATGCAATGGCTTCTCAGAAAGCTTCTCCACAAATGGCCGACTCTGAGCAGACTTGGTGAATAACTTCACCTGGTTTACTCCCATCGCTGTACCGTCCAGCAGCACATTGCCATCAACAAAATCAACCTCAAATTTCAGATTCTGTCCAACAATCTTGGCACGCTTAAAATAGCTGTGGAATTCCTTGCTTTCATCATGAGTCTTGACATGCATCACCAGAGGATCATCCGATAAATAGACAGCCGCAAAAGTACACAATAAAATTCTATCATGAAGAGCCTCCACATTAATTGAACCCCGACCTCCAGAACTGATTGGCTTATATAAACGGTTAAGAGAGGAACGAGGGTGGTGGGCCCTGTTATCAGACATGATCCTTCTGGTCAGGCGGTCAAGACCCTGAATATCTTGTTTTGTCCAATCAACTACTCCAAAGGAACAGCAAAGGACTGGCACAGCAAAAGTATTAGTGGCTTTGACCTTGTTTACAGCATTTAGCTCTGAGCTCCAGATTTTGTTTAAGCGAGCTTTATACTCGGCCTGAAGTTTGTCTTGAATCTGGGCATTCTGGAGCTTGTCTCAAGCTTGCATTCCAAAATAGGTGTAGCACTGATCTTCCTCAAGATGCTCAATAACTCCTCCCCGTGTAACTTGACCGATCCATCATTGGTTACCTTGCCACGTATTCAAATGAAGAGTATAACATTTGTCGAGCCCAAATGTCATGCCAATATCATTAGGACAGGACTCGACAAGGAGAACCTGTTCTTTCAAATTGGTGTCTCCTTCGGCAAGGAGCTGGATGTCATCCATGTAAAGGAGATGAGTAAGCAGTGTTTGGGATCTGTGGTGAGGAGGTCCGGGATGGTAACCCTCCTCTTTGTTGAGCAGAAAGCTCAAAGGAATTAAAGACAAACGAAAAAGCAAAGGACAGAAGAAGTCCCCTGAAATATTCCCCTTCTGATTAGAATCGATTGCGAAGTCTGCGCCTGCCCTTGCGAGTACATCTCAAGTTGACTCGACCAGCAACTGATTAAAGATTTGAGTAAATCAAGTAGTCACTCAGGGAGGTCAATACAATTAAGAGACTTCAGATCCATTCATGAGGGACAAAGTCGTATGCTTTTTTTCGTAGTCAATCCAGCACAAACCTCTCCAGGAGAGGTTGCGGTGATATGACTTAGCCTCTTCCAATTTTTTTTTTTTGTACAAGAAGTTGATCCTTGCAGCCCAAACATCCCCTTCTCGCCCCCGTCTGCTCTCTGTACATTATATCATCGGAAGAGCAATACGATGACACGAGCTTTGTGAATATTACACATTGCGTATTCAAACATCTAGGGCGAAGTGTTTGGGATCAGTCAAGTCTCCTTTTTTGGGGAAAGAGTAGTGTGCGACCTTTGCAAAACCATGGAGGAACATCACCTGTGCCTACGAGAGAATTGAAACAGTGAAGTAATGATGTTTTGACACAGGAGCAGTTTCTAATACCGGTTTCGAATGCCATCAGGCCCAGGACCTGTATTAGATTTGGACTTTTTTATAACACTTCTCAGGCAATCTGGTGAGATGTAACAGACAAACGGCCTAGTTATTTTCTCATGCATTGCATGATCGTAATCATGGACTTATGGTGCCTCGTGGTTTCCCTCGCCGGGTACAGACCACAACTGCTTCCAGAACCTTTCATTGTCGTCCATGGGTGGCCGTTTAACATGTTCACCATCACACTTTGTTTTGAGTTGCCTGTAAAAGTGCTTCTCATTGTTTCTGAAGAGTTTATTTTGCTTGATAAATTTGTTTTTCTTTTCCCAGTTTTACTTTCTTTCAGACCAAACCTTTCATTTTGCCTTAAGGGAATCGACAATTTGGAGGAGTACCTTTTTTCTCGTTGTCATATACTGCAATTATATTTCTCTCCAAATTGACTGTTGTGTTTTAGACATTGGGTTCCCTGACGATCTTATTTTAAGGCACAGCTCTATCCAGGAAATGTTTCTTCTAGTGTCATTAAGTTCTTTGGTCTTTTGTTATTATCATTAGATGTTTTTTGTCTTTGGAAACTGTGTGAACTGTGTTCAGATAAGAAACAATCCTCAGAAGGTTTTAGAGAAATAGCTTCATTGAGTAAATCAATTTCATTTTGGGGAAAAGACACGTTTAGCTGTTTAATTGGCCTCACACATTTCCTCATAAATAGAGTTGAACAAAATGTAAACAGGATTGTCGGAAATATCCTCAACTGAGGAAGAAGAAGAGAGAGGGTCAGAAAATTTGGGGCCAATTATTATTATTATTAAGATTGCTATTAAAGGCGTAGTACAATGCTCATAATATCAATTTCACTATAATCCCAGCACAGTTGTTTGCAGGCCACTGTGGCATTGCTTGAATATTTGATGCAGCGTAAAGTCAAACATGTTGATAGTGATAAGGGAACCTGAAGACGTCCTCATTATATCCGTACGATATATTAAAAAAAATGTAAGTAAACACAATTTCCTCTGTGCGATCAAATAAATGACAAAAGAGCATGTACTTCAAGTATGCAAATAATATTCGCCAGGGACAATCCTATATTATTCATTGTCGTCCTATATTATTCATTGCGTAATGGGAGTTCTAGTTAACTTGTTTTTATGGTACAATAAAGGGACAATCCTATATTATTCATTGTCGTCCTATATTATTCATTGCGTAATGGGAGTTCTAGTTAACTTGTTTTTATGGTACAATAAACTACCCTTATGACGGCGGCCAATGTTCGAAGCTTGTTACCCGTGATGGTCCGGGGTAGAATTGATCTTCAGCAACCCATGCTTGTCGTAAGAGGGGACTAACGGGATCGGGTGGTCAGGCTCGCTGGCTTGGTTGACACATGTCATCGGTTCCCAATTGCGCAGATCGATGCTGATGCTGTTGATCACTGGATTGTCTGGTCCAGACTCGATTATTTACAGACCGCCGTCATATAGCTGGAATATTGCTGATTGTGGCGTTAAAGTAAACTCACTAACTCACTCGTAGTTTGTTGTAACCGTTGTTTGATATATGCATTTTAACCGAAACATACAACAGATTACTGCACTCGTGGCTGTCAGGTACCATATATCTAACAACTCGTTCTTTCAGAAGATATCTAACTCGCCTTCGCTCGTTGGATAGGATTTAAGCAACCCTTTGTAAGATACAACGTATATCTCACCGACACTCGTGAAGCGTTCTCTGTTTCTGTAATTGTAAGCCCACAGCGCTGAACTCCACGCCGCACGGACATGATCTAAGCGTGTACAACATAATGGACATCATAACCCCAGATAATCCATACTGCCTGTGAGGCTCAAGGAGGGTAACAGTCATATGACTTATCCCACCGGGTACCCATTTTCGGCTGGACAAACTCCCTTGCCTAATCTGACAGCACAAGTGTCGCATGTACTTCGTTCTGGGGAAGGGCAGAAGTCCTAAAACTTCTCAGGAGCCAAGCTGCCAAACACAGTCACCCATCCAAGCACTCTCCGTGACCAACGTCGCCTAACTTCACCTGATTTCGGACCTTTGCTCTGTGCTCGAGACACACAATACCAGGGCGAGACAAACTCTCGGTTAGCTTGACCATCCGTTCGAGTTAAAATAGTTAAAGCTGGGTATCACTAAGTTCAACTAAGAATACGATAGGCTTCTGGCTGAACTCAATGCAAGTTCAATGTAAAATTGAGTTTGGAATATGTAATGGTAAATTTGAGTCAGTTAGTGGAAAATAATTTCGATACAACTGTAACTTCGACACATCAGATTCTACACTTCAAAGGTTACACACCCGTGAAGGTCCGGGTTAGAATGAACCTTCAGTAACCCACGCTTGTCGTAAGAGGCGACTAAGGAGATCGGGTGGTCAGGCTCGCTGGCTTGGTTGACACATGTCATCGGTTCCAAATTGCGCAGGTCGATATCGATGCTCATGCTGTTGGTCACTGGATTGTCTGGTCCAGACTCGATTATTTACAGACCGCCGTCATATAGCTGGAATATTGCTGAGTGCGCATAAAAGTAAACTCACTCACTCACTCAAAGGCTACACAATGATGAATAATGAATGCAGGGGCTTCGAGATAACCGTAGCAGTGTGAAAGATAACTTCGACACAATGATGTTTGACTGAATATGTTTCATTGATCAGACTGACTGACTGACTGAGTTTGGTTTTACTTCCGCTTTTAGCAATATTCCAGCAACATCACGGCGGGGGACACCAGAAATGGGCTCCACACATTGATCAGATATGGTGACACTTTTACATAATACTAACAGTTCGTACTGTCCGATTTTCGAAAGAACCGAGAAGATCCAGGTTAGAATTGTTGTAATTGGCGACTAACGGGATCGGGTGGTCAGTATCGCTGACATGGCTGGCACATCATCGTATCCAAATTGCGAAGGTTAATGCTAATGCTATTGATCACTGGATTGTCTGGTCCAGTCTCGATTAGTTACAGACTATAGATTATATTTACAGACCGCCGTCATATAGCTGAAATATTGCTGAATGAGGTGTTACAAACAAACAAATAAACAATTCGTACAAGGTGAATGATATGTATCCCGTCCCGTACATTCTCTCTCTTTAACAATGCTTCAATAGTGACTTCAATAGTGACTTCAAATCGAATGAATATTGTTTTATAAATGATACAACCAAATGCATTAAATGCTTACAAAACAATACAGGATCATATAAAAACTGTTTTATTTCAGTACATATTTCTGCTTTTGCTATATATGAAATGTAACATAGTAGATATTTATTCTTGATAGTTACTATAAAGCGAATATTTTACGAAAGGTCGAATTATATATAATCTATTTCATCTGTCGTGCCTTCGAGTGAGTGAGTTTAGTTTCACGCCGCTTTCAGCAATATTCCAGCAATATCACGGCGGGGGACACCAGAAATGGGCTTCGCACATTGTACCCTTGTAGGGAATCGAACCTGGGTCTTCAGCGTGACGAGCGGACGCTTTAACCATTAGGCTACCCCACCGCCCCCTTGCCGTCGAATGTCTTAGATATTGCGTAAGTAACAACACGTACATACTCTGTCTGATTTTGGAATCTACTCTGCCTCTCAGTATAAATATAAAATCTCAACACGAGCGAAATTTAGAAAACACATAAACACAAGTTCGAATCTATTAATATTTCTCTGCTTCAAAGCTTATCTTACAACGTGTATGACATTTTATCCTGAAGTTGACATTAATCCATTCTTGGTGTAAAATACCTTGCAGTCTGACTTGCAAAAACATGACCCTAACTGTGCATCTATCAACTTGCTAAACCAAAAGAGCAGTACCCACGAACTACATAGAAAAATGAAAGATTACTTGCCAAGTTCTGTCCATCTAGAGAATCAATTTCCGCGAACTCTTCGTAAGGAATATAAATTTAAAAAACCCAACAAAACAATTACATAATCAACATTACTTACGTGTTAAGGTATATCCTTTGGATCCAGACGCGTTCACAAGCGTAAGTCTGAAGATATCTTCCGTATACATAGAACATAATCCTTCACTTTTTTGGTAAAAAAAACTCTTACATGCATTAATTTCGAGACCACAAAGAGCGCCACATCCACATAATGTGACGACTCGCCTGGTCAGACTGTTACTATCTACTCCCCGTTTGTCATCGTATTGAGAAAGGTGCTTAAAGTTTCTCAGCATAACGGTTACATCCACAACAGATATTTGAAAAGCAAGAACGACAAACACTTGAAAGTTCCCGACGGTCATTCTGCTGCACGACGTGAACATTCACGAGCAGAATCTCCAGAAAGCCGTATGCTATTAACGCATTGTCTTTTACACCGTTGCTAGCATCAACAAAGGTACGCCAGTTCATTTTGCTCAAGCCAGTTATCTTTCTCTCCAGGCGAACCAATCAATGTAATTGGATGCTGCCTAGGTAAAGCCGAGCTGCGACTTTCAGAATACATATCCGGTCTATTTTATATTGTTTTAACGCCATATAATACAACTATGTGAACTCACTAGAGCTGTATGCTCCCCAGGGAGTTGAGATTGATAATACGACGTGCCGTTGAGATTGACATCCAGTGATAGAGGGAAAAAACAAAGCGCCTTTGAGCAGCTGAGCTGGAAATCGACGCTGTATTAGTGTATGTATGTATGTATGTATGTATGTATGTATGTATGTATGTATGTATGTATGTATGTATGTATGTATGTATGTATGTATGTATGTATGTATGTATGTAACACGTAATCCTTAAATCAAAACTCAGAAAGCGTTAAAAATATCGGGAACACGCCAGACAGAGAGTTTGGCTTCGGTTCGACCCCATCATGGTACCCGGTTTGTCCCTTGTTTTGTTGGTTTGGTGTTTGACGACGCTATATTCCAGCTTAATGGTGGCGGTCTGGACCAGACAATCCAGTGATCAACAACAAAAGCATCGATCTATGCAATTGGGATACGATGACATGTGTCAACCAAGTCAGCAAGCCTCACCGCCCGATTCCATTAGTCTCCTCTTAGGACAAGCATGGGTTCCCCGGTCTTGGAGTTCCGTGAACATGTTAATGGGTTTCACCGTAAGTTTCGGAGTGTAATCAAGATTGTGAAAAGCCTTAAAAAAACAAGAAGAAAACTCTATTATATGTTGTTGTCACCAATAACAACACTGTTTCCCTAGAACAACCTAGCTAAGCCACCAATTTAGTCCTCTTGTTAAGCAAGCTCTCACGCAGGGACAAAGTTTCCACAACAGTCAACCATTATCGCCATCAGAATCAATATCTAATTAAGTAAATGTTATCATTGAAAGGATTGATTTTATGGAATTCAAAATGAGGCTGGAGTTTGCACTTGTTGGTGACAACAGGATTTCAGACACTGAAACCTAATGTGTCCATAGGAACATTCCAAGGGCGAAAGACCACACCAAGAAGAAGGCAGTACATTTTTAATTTGTTCTCGGACACATAACTATTTGCTTGTATCTGCATAAATTCAAAGCAATTTGCGGCCTTCTCTGTTCTTGTGGACTTCTCACTATCCCCAACAAACATACCAGTGTGTGATTGTTTCTGAGGCCCGGACCGCCCAGTCGTCTAATCTATACAATCCGCTATGCAGATTTGTTTGTTTGTTTAACTCCGCACCCCAGCAGTTTTCCAGGCATACCTCGGCGGGAAATTCGGCAACATGCCAGACACGTGTGAGAGTGGTTCCGGTTCGACAACATCATGGTTCTCAGTTTGTCTGTTTGTTTACTGTTTACCTCAGCAATATTCCAGCTACATGGCCGCGGTTTGTAAATGACCGAGTCTGGACCAGACAATCCTGTGATCAACAGCATCAGCATCGATCTGCGCAATTGGGATACGATGACATTTGTCAACCAAGTCGGCGACCCTGACCACCCGATCCTGTTAGTCGCCTCTTACGACAAGCATGGGTTGCTGAAGACCAATTATTCTAACCCGGATCTTCACGGCTCTGTTTCTATGTGGAAGCAGTCTAGGTTTTTCGCTGTACAAAGCAAGACCTGTGTTTGCAGAAATACACTGATGACCAAACGAAAATATATCATCTTCACGGGTAGAATGAATGAATGAATGAATGAATGAATGAATGAATGAATGAATGAATGAATGAATGAACGAATGAACGAACGAACGAACGAACGAACGAACGAACGAACGAACGGACGAACGAACGAACGAGACGACACCTTGACAGAGAAACTGTCACCTTCACCTTTACGGATGACATGAGTAAACACAAAGGCGAATCGAACGCAGCTCTACAATGTCTTGCTATCGAACCCGAATAAACGATTCAGTTGCATATGATCATGAAATAACCTTTACGAAAATAGAGTGGAACACATCCGAACAAACAGTTTGGCATGGTAGTTTTTTTATTCTTTTTATATGTCGAGTTAAGTTCGGCTATCAGCTATAAATTCTTACTCAGATCTTGCCTTGCCATCAGACCTGAGTAAACGAGCTTGCATTCGACTGCTTCCCATCAATAACAAAAACATTCGAAAAAACGTGAGCATGTCCGAAAAAAACCCGAACAGACAATTCTCGATGGTTAGGTTCGAGTTCGAGTCCATTACACTTCAATGAATGGCTCCCGAGTAAGGCTGTTTGAGATTGATAAGATCTGTTTTCTGTAGTGTGTGCACACAGCCGATACTAAAATTAATATCACATCGACCACATCCGCCACGTGAATGTAAACTGGTGAAGTGACGTTTACATTGGACTCTTCACCTTTGTCAAATGCACGTAGGAAAATTTTCTCACAGTAGATTTAACAAAGGCTGTTTTTCACATCCCAGTACTGTTCAAACAAAAGTATGCCGTGAATAGTGTTCGTCTTCAAAGCATGATTTTGGACAAACATTTGTGAGTATGAATCTGTCTGCCTTTGAATAAGGAATTGTACATCCTTTAGTTCCTGTGACAGGATTCGCTGGTCGTGGGAGGGGCGTAGATTCACCCTTTGGATTTAACTTAAGTAGTGAATTACAACTAGTCTGTTATCACATTGACTATAGAACCACTGTTTTACCTGAGCAAGTTATTGAATCGGGGAAGACCAATTCCATGGAATGTGTGTTTAGAATGTTTTCATCGATTCAAGACAACCTTTCATTTTGAAATAAAAATAACACTATGATTTAGATCAATATGCACCTTGCAATGCCATTGCAACACAAGTGATTAGTTGTCGCAATGAATGCAGTAATCAATCTCAATAATAAATAAATAATAATGTCTTGGCTCGAAAGACCGTTCTTGTAGCAGCTATATATGTGATTACACAAACAATATATAGAATGCACCGGATGGTTTCCATTAGGTCAGTGTGTTCTAATTTCAGTGAGTGAGTTAGTGAGTACGGTTTTACGCCACTTTTATCAATATTCCAGCAATATCACGGCGGGGAACACCAGAAATGGGCTTCACCCATTGTACCCATGTGGGGAATCGAACCCGGGTCTTCAGCGTGACGAGCGGACGCTTTATCCACTAGGCCACCCCACCGCCATCAGTAATTTCAGAATTTGCGCGATGGGAAGAGAGAAAATCCGGTCAAGTGAAATGCAAAGTGGCCTCTGACAGTGATCTCATGCCAAGTCATCAGTAGACCAGAGTACGTCGATGGCCATGAGTTTATATTTTATCCAAGGCATAATGGTTTGAGTGCTTTCCTGATCATTTATATGAAGCCACAAGTTAAGCAGCCCGTGTTATAACGGGACAATTCTCAACTTGACATTGCCTCTGCTGCGTCAGATAACCTTTTCAATTGACCAATCAGAACACAGCTTACCAAATCGCGAAAGCTGACATTCGCACATACCTTTTGAACTTTTACCTCCAAAAAGTTTGTACCGAACGATTCCAAATGCTGTTTTCCGTACGATCGCTGCCGAGTGAGGCACGCCACAGCAGTGAGTAAACAGTCTCTGAAAATAGCGTTTTGTCAGTATTCAAGCATGTCAGCTTGCTGAAATATTAGCTAATGATAGCCATGTCACCAGAAACCCCAAGCCTATATACCGCAGGGCAAATATCTGTGTTTTATGCAGTTTTCAATGGTTGGGAGATCAGTGTCAGTGAACGGGGAAGAGAAAATCCCTTTTGTAAGTCCCGCCGAACCCTAAATAGTAGCTGTTGTCTGATTGGTTAAATCCGTTCGGCCGTCTCGTGTTTGATTGGACTGTCATAGGTCGCTCAAAGGTTACCTGACGCGACCTTCCACAAGGGTTTGTTAGACACAGTATAGCAGTGTAACGAATAATACTGAGTCTAAGTTTACTTAGACCTGGTTTTTATAGGAGGTATAGCAACATAGGTTCCAGACATTCTTCAAAGTGGCCTTTCCTCAAGAACCTTCCCACTGTACAAATCCGCAGCTCGAAGAAGGTCGCCTTCCCCCACCCCGCTGTTCGTTTTCTGCTTGTAAGAATTAACAAGAGGAAGTTCTGTCAGGGAGTTTCAAACTTTGTCAATAATTATAAAAGGATGTTGGAAAAGATTGAAAACTGACATGTTGATTGACTAAGCAGAGTTTGTTATTTCAACATTACTAACTACCCGATGTGGCATTGTGTACAAAACTTCATTTGGTTTTGTGAATATTAAATTGCCCAATCTGGATACTGATTATTACTGCTAGGGATATTAAAGGTAACAGTTGGATGTAATTGTTAGATGAGATTGGTAGGGAATACTTAATGCCATGTAGATGTATAGCTTAGAGATTTTTACCACGTTGATTGATCAAGTCACTCCAACAATCCATGTATTCTAATCGGGATCCTCGTGATTTGGTCAAAACATATTGCTTAGTATAGGTGAAGCAGTTACTCTTTCTGACAGGTTGAATTTAGCAGACAGTAGGTGGCATCTCATTTGTTTATCAAATTACCATTTCCACATAACAGTATTATTCCCAACTTGCATATGATATACTATTCACACTTTGCTAAGGATCATGGATTCAACAGAAAACTCTCATGTAGGGTCAAATTTGGTTTTAAAATCTAAGCTTATTGTAAGCATGGATCCTAGGCTTCAGCATGTCATTTCATCTGGTTGAACCCATATCTGCTTTTGACAAGTGTTGTTTACTTGTCAATGACTCGTTCCATGATTTGCAAAATGTTTGACTGGTGCCGTGAAAACCATTTTTATGGTTACTTATGTATCAAGTGCATAAGGTTAGACGACAGTGGCTGTTTGCCTAAAGAAGGGTTACCATATTATTATTTATCCAGTTTTAAATGGATACAATTTCAAATCATAACTCTACGTTTATGTAAAGTTGTGAATGTTTGTGATCCTTAGCAAAGTGTGAGTAGTATAGATATTGAACTATTAGCCC